TAAGTACTTAAGTGTATGTAGTAAAATATCAGGAGATAGAGTCATGAATGAATAGGTGTTGAATTAGTGCAAATTGAATTCAAAAGTGAGGAATCTGAAAGAAAAACTTGAGGTAGTTTGGTTATATAGAAAGAATAAATTGAACCCAATATACGAAGGAAAAATGAATACAAGTGGTCCTGGATTAATGACAGTAATTGGGACCAGAATTTCCATTGATAAGCAATGCGGTCATAAAACGCAATGTCTTGTGACCACATTGCTTAGCAATGGCAATCCTAGCATTCCCCGTTGCCATCATTAACCAAATCCCACTGGTCATTAGGTGAGGAGCCACTCTGATCCAAGCTATTCCCAGCTTGGTCCCTCCAAGCCCCAAGATTCAGTAAGGTAAAGGACTGCCTCCTCTGCCTCCTCTTGAACTCCCCCCACCTGCTTATCTCCCCACCATTTCTGCCCTTTTGGCCACCCACCTACCCACTGCCACCAGCTACCTCTGCTACCCAGCCCTGCCCTCTGCCACCGCACCCACTGCATCATGTCAGATTCAGCCGGCACGGCATGGCAAGGCGATGCTCAGCTTTGCCTAGTCAATTTCACCGCCCCAGGTGCTAGCAGCAAAAAAGGGGAAGTTAGCCAAGACCGTGAACTGATTACTGGCAGGTGGCGGCGCTTAACTCAAACCGCAAGCGGATACTTTGTATCAGCGCCGGCTTCCCTCAAGCGCTGGAGACAAAGGAATGCGCAGAGACTCTGAAGCGAAGCAATCAATGAGCGATTGAGAACTCCCGGCTTTGCGCGCAAACAGGGAAACCAACAAAGACAACAACAGCACAACCCATGGACAGCAATCAGAAAGACAAAAGCCCTGGACTGAATCTGCCATTTGGGTGAGGGGGGGTTACTGTGGGTAAACTGTAACTAAGCAACAGGTAAAGCGCGGGAATGGGGAAGCTATAAAATACCATGTAAACTATGCCAAGCCAACCCTGGCTTTGTCTGTACTTACTTACCATATTTTTCCGACTATAAGACGATACTTTTTTCTAAAACCCTTACCCTAAAAATTGAAGGGCGTCTTATTCAAGGAAGTCAGCTGAGGAAAGAACCTCGCAGTTGCAAAACTGCCCATACTTTTTTTCTGCAAAGAGGCTTCCTCCTATTGCTAGCCTCCAATCACGAGTGAAATAGCTTGCTCCCAAACAGACTTCCTCCAATCACAAGCCTTATGTAACTGATGCCAGCTGATGCTGAACAAACCAATTAGAGGAAGGCTGTTTGCAGAGACAAGCTATCGGAACTGATGCCAGCTGATGCTGAACAAACCAATTAGAGGAAGGCTGTTTGCAGAGACAAGCTATCGGAACTGATGCCAGCTGATGCTGAACAAACCAATTAGAGGAAGGCTGTTTGCAGAGACAAGCTATCGGAACTGATGCCAGCTGATGCTGAACAAACCAATTAGAGGAAGGCTGTTTGCAGAGACAAGCTATCGGATATTGATTTCTTAATTTTGGGTTGGAAAAGTAGGGGTCGTCTTGTACACGGGGGCGTCTTATTGATGGAAAAATACGGTACTGTATGTTACGCTTGAGTAAACTTCTTTGCTGAACACACGTGTCACGAGGGTTTCTCTGAGACGAACGGGGTAAACCTTACCACTACTGCACCAGCCAGGACCTTCTTTTGCACCACGTTTTTTATGCTGGTGCTTCTCTCATGCCCCGCCCAGGGGCTCTGTTCACATGCTACCCAGGGTCTCTGTTCATGCCCTGCCCAGGTCCTTCTTTTGCAAAAAAAACCTGGTACACGAAAGAAGGTCCTGGCTGTGCTGGTGCAAAAGAAGGACCTGGCTAGAAAGGTCCTGTACGCCAGCATAGCTGGGACCTTTTTTCACATGCCAGGCTTCTTTTACAAAAGAAGGCCCTGGGCAGGATATGAATGGAGGCCCTGGGCAGGGCATGAGAGAAGCCCTGTCTACACTGATGTGAAAGAAGTTGACACAAAAGAAGGCCCCAGCCAGTACAGGAGTGGCGGGTGGAGCAGCAGGGACAGTGGCGGGGGGCAGGGCTGGGCGACAGAGTAGGTGGCAGCAGCAGGTAGGCAAGTGGCCAAAAGGTGGTGATAAATGCAGGTAGGCCCAAGTAGGTCCAAATTTTATTCATGTGACTGTGGGGGCTCTGCAACAGCTGGAACTCGAGGACCAGTCGCAAGTCCCTTGGTTCAGCATTGTCATAACTTCAAATGATTGCTGAGCCAACCAAGTTAATGGACATTAAGCGAGGATTACCTGTAGATCAAGAGGAATGTGTTTGGATCTGGTAAAAGCAAAGATGATATGTAAAGATAAAAAGGTATTGCTATGAGTATGAGAGTATAAGAAAGACATTGAATGGTGCCACTGTAAACTAAGATTTAGCCTATATTTCCTTTTCGTTTTTGTTTTCTTATCTCACCCCTTTAACTTCTTTGGGTTATCATTTTTTCTTTCTCTTTTTCTATAATTTGCATGATGTTCCTTCCCTGAGAGAGAATAGTGTGATGGGCAGGCATGTACTTATGCAAGTATATAAATTAATATTAAAAAAAATTAAATGAATGGATCTCCCCAGCCAGCTATGCTCTGGATACAGAATGTTTAAAATGTCACAAGATAAAGAAAGGAAGGCTGTTGTGGCAAAAGAATACCAGTTGTGGTGGACCTTAATATGGTCATGCCAGCTCATGTGTTGGTGTCAGGACTGCTTCCAGCAGCCCTTATTTACTGACATGTCTAGGTCATCATCTGAGATCTCTTGACTGCATGGACCTAGAGGCTCTCACTTAGTTTAAAAAGAGCAGCTACCTTTCCAACATGCCATTAAAGGACAATATGGGTAAAGTAATAGAAGTAGGTACTAAAGAGATACATCCCAGATGGTCTTTCAGTTGATAAAAAAAAATTAGAAAGTAGTTCTCACTAATAGTAGCTCCAATCATCCCATATGATTTACAGATTGCAAAACTTTGGACCTATTCTGAGGAATGAAATTTTCTCTAGGGCATCTATTTCATGTGGAAGTTCTGGTTATAACCAACAATTAATTGCTTGCATCTCCATATGTTTGATTCCCAGTCACTCCTGGGGCTAAGGTATTTCACAGCTGCACAACTGGCAGATTGTTTGACTGCTTGCCCAGATTAAAATGCCCAGTTTATTAAAAGTTGGGATGGGGGAGGACGATAAAAATAGATTTTCAGGTGGGAAATGCTGTTTCTGAAACAGAATGTATCAATGCACTTTCATTTGATCTGAAATACTAGTTGGTTTAGGAATGTGATGCAAACCATTTTGCCAAGGCACAAGCTTGCTTACTGCTTTATGAATGTGTTTCATTAGATTTCAATGCTGATGAGTTATTGATCTAATTGTTGCATTATTGGTTTTATTGTGTTGCCCAAACAAAAATAACCATGACTACTCCTAATAAACCCTGGCCCTACAAAATCTCACTCAGATGATATCAATCTCCTATGTGCTCAGGGCAGATGTCTGCAGGAGCAACACCTTGGGGCATAGAAGCATATATTGGTTGGCTTCAACTCAAGCAAGCTCACGTTGTTTATCAGCAATGATCACATAGTAATTACTCTTGATTCTGTAAGGCTTGAACAAGGCTATTATTTTTTCCTGAAATGCACATTGCAAACCTTTGTTAAAAGCCACATTATACTTAAAATAAATAATTGGACCTTCCTGGTCACACTTTCTAGTTAATCCAACTGGTTTTCCAAAGGTAGCAATCCAATTTAGAGTTCTTCAGGCTGCTATCAGGATGACTAAGAAACAGTCATGAACACTTAATGAGTCACCACACACCTGGTGGATTGGCTAGACATCTTTTCCCAATGCGTTATAGGAAAGTTGGCTTTCTGTTAGGGCCAAATTAAGGCCAATGATGTCCTAAGCACAGCCCAACAATGGTGCCCTTTGGCTCTTCCATGCTTAATTGACAAGACATTAAGATTCAATAAATGCCGAAAGTACAGTGAAGTATGACTTAACAGTGAAAGAGTTAAGGGCCTGATAGCTAGGGGAAAAAACGCTGTGGTGCCTTCCTTCTCCTAAGTACCCCAAGCACATGCTTATTTGCTTAATGGTTAATCCAGGGCTGGACTCTGTAATCTGGGAGAGAAGCAATTACCACAGACTGCTTATTGCAGCCGACATTGCACATATGCACATATTGCTTTGCTGTCATGATGCAACTGGCAGCATCTCTGCCTCCATCATTTGGATGAGTGGGCAGGGGACATTCCTTAGGTAAGGTAGTGACAGAACTGTGGTGAAGTCTCAGGACAGAATTTTGTGCGAGGCAGCCTGCCCTGGCCAGGCCCCTCATTAACTTGCTTCTCTTAGAGGTGATGGAAGAGTTTCTCCCAAGTGCCAGCAAAAGGTCTTGGATTAGCTCTGGCTGCAGAATACAACACTCCTTACCCATGAAGAATTAGTTAGTGTTAGCCATCCATGTTGCTGGTTCTAAATTAGAGGTTGGGGCCAAGCAGCAATCTTAAACAATGGGTTGCTAATGGCTACATGCAAGCTTCCCTTGTTTTCACAAGGATATTGTGTTATTTCCTTCTCTCTGCACTTACCTCTTATTTCTCAGCAAGGAACTATCATCATCATCATCATCATCATCATCATCATCATCATCATCATCATCATCCTACAATTTAGCTTCATCAAATTTGCTGCTCAAACTTGGAAACTAAATTAAGAATTCTTTTTGTTGTTAATTGTGTGGGGTGTTTGTTTGTTTGTTTTGGTTGTTAATGGTTCCTTGTTTGACATAAGATATTAGCATCTTTTTGGTTTACCAATAAACTACATGTGCAGAACAACCCAGTAATGTTCTCTATGGGAGTAAGTTCCATTGTGCTCAATAAAGCTTATTCCCAAGTAATTGCAACTGGCCAACTTTCGAAAAGCAATATTGTATTCATGTGTAAATGTGGTTTTATTTATTTAAACGTTCATGGGTATTATAACAGTAAGAAAATGGACATACAAAATGTTTTACAGCAATTTTTGAGAGCAGGTTAAAGTTAGGTCATTATTTTTGCATTTTATAACAATATTAATCCCCAAACTGACACACTTCTGTTTACCTGTCCTGAACTGCGTGACATAATGATTCAGTCCATTAACCTCTGCCTTAGAGCGATTTACCTATTGTTCCCTTTGTGCTTAATGATGTGGACTAAGGTTTTAGCAGAGTTGCCACAAGCAACTATCACTTGTACCAACTGAGTCTACCAGATGGTGACAATTGGCTTATATAATCATGAAGCAGTTTGCTTGTATTTCAAATGATTTAATAACATGCAAAAAGATGTGAGTGCCAACAGAAAACTTGCTGCATAGTAATAAGCAGGTTATATGTGTATAGAAAACAAGCTGATGGGTAGGTTCACACAATACACCAAGCCCAGGCCCCTGATTAACCAACTATTATTTCTATATCCAAACAATATTGTGGCTTAACATTCACACAACATGCTAAAATGACTGCATCCATATATCATACAAAATTATAAGCTACCCCAACCCATTTTAGCCTAGCTTGTAGGAACCTGGTCTATGAACTTGTGCTGATTTAGAAAAAAACATCATTGAATTAAATAACACTTACTTACTGCTAAAGTTGTGGAGTACAGCTGAGCATATTCCAGATGTCCTATCAGTTTCTACATTTTATTCATTTATTTGTTTAATTTCTACTCTGCCTTTCTACTCAAGCAAGTACTAAAAGCTGAAAATCCTTTTGGTGCAGTAGTTGATCTGGTATCCCACAATGTAACAGTGCCCAAGAATAAGGAAGAAAGGATGAATCAAGAGCTCTTTCCAACTTTAACTATGGGGAATTAGTTTGTTAAGTGTGGCCTTTGTGTGGGTATACACAGGAAGGGCAAGTGATGACACATGTAATCATGCAAATGTCAGACAAACTTTATTGTGGATCACTGACCTAGACTTCATTAATTACACAGATACCACAACTGTGTACTTGCATCAAGAGTTGTGATAAAAGTGTATAATTGCAGTGTTTGTGTGATAAAATCATAATGTGTCATCATATTGTTACAGACACGGCTGTGTGTATGGCAAAATTATACAGGAGGAGACAGTATAGTATGGCTTTATTTTGGGCTAGAGCACATACAGACCAACATTTTGCTCTTCAGGAAGTCATTGAAGAATGTAGAATGTGAGATAGAAAGTTTCTTATACCTCTAATGACTAAGTGTTTGACCAATGGGTAGGCTTGAATTATGGAATGTTTTGCACAAATATAGAGTTGAATGTTGGTTGCTGAAAGCGATAAGAGTGGTATGATGGAAGTAAAGCATATATGATAATAAAAGGAATTTTTAGCAAACAGTTCAACATTGAGGAAGGAGTAAGACAAGGATGCATGATATCCCTTTAGTTGTTTAACATATTTATGGATAAATGTATAAGGAATGCTTGTGGTGATGTTAGAGGTGTGTTGGTTGGGGATGTGAATGTATGCACCGTGCTGTTGGTCCCTGCATAGAAAGAGGAAAAAAGACCAGCATAATAAGTATGCATGTAACAGTAAACATTAAATAATTTCTTAACATTTTAAAAGCCCTTTCCTTGATGGGCAAAAATCAAATTAGCAGATTATGTATAGCCATGGGAGTACAGGCTTCATAATGATTCTTAGCCTCTTAACTGCACTACTGAAATCCTGTTTTTCAAAAGTACCGTAATTCTGTATTGGTTAGTGAGGGACAACTAGTTCAAAAAGCTGTTAGATTTGCATATGCCTCTTGAAGAAAATCATTTATAATCCTTTTGGTAGTTTCTGGGTTTTTTTTTGTTTTTTTGTTTTTTTTTTTAATTAGGCATCTTTCATCCACATATACTATCTACCTTTTCCTTATTTTCCCTGGATATTTTTTCTTTCTCCTTTGGTCGTACAAAAGAAAATTTAAAAATAGTTACATAAATATTCTCACCTTGTATAGATGTATAGGAAAGGGAATTTAGTGCAGGAATGTCGCTTTTTCTGAGAAACCTTTGCCTTACCCTGTGGACAGCCTTGATTACACTTCCTGTTGCCATCTTCAATTCTGTCTTAGTCTCCTCTTTCATTCCTTAACCTTTCTTTGCTGTACATGAACAGACACATAAAGCAATTAGCCAATAGTTATACTTCTATTAACAAAAAGAGAAAAGAGAAAAAGCTTTATCACAGTGAGAGGCCAGCAAAACAGACAAACAAATATACAGAGAAATACAAAAAACAGACAAGGTTTATGAGTCGAACTTGATCTTTAGGAGGTGTATTCTGCCACACTGTTGAAGCTAAGTAGCAAATCTTAGAAACATTCTAGGTGACCTGGACGTTTTTGTCAGACAGAAGGAAAACTACATAGTAATCATCTGACTATTCTGGAATTGTTGCTAGAAAAGAATGAATTACATTTTGGTGTAAACCTAAATAAAAACTGAAGTGTAGTAGCATATGTGTGATATTTTCAACTTCCTCCATGACACAAGAGCTGAGGCAGAAAGTTAGCAGAATATTTTAATATCTCCCTTGCAATAATACCAAGGGAAGGGCATTGAAACATGTCATTTTGAAAGTCCAATTACAATGCTATTTACATTTGAACAACATTGAGTCCCTGGTTCAAGTCCCAGAAGATCACAATAAAATTGCATTAGTTACCGTATCTATCTTGCCACATCAGTGAGACCAGTATAATCTTCAGTATCATTAACTGTTGTTTCTGTGGCTTTTTTTTTTTAATATGCCTTCTATTGGCAGAAGAATGGTGATATCAAAGCAGGGACCTCAAGGCAAAACTGTATGAGTAAGTTGAGTGGGGGGTGGGGGGGGGGAAATTGACATCAATACCTTTTACCATTGTAGGTCACACTACAATGTATAATTATCCAAATACATATAATTGAAATGCATGACAAGGCACCAGCAGAGGTAATCAGCAGAATACAATGGGATATAAGTGGTGGGTCTGAGTTCTTTCTTCCCTCCCACACACCAATACACATATTTCTTAGAATTAGCATTTCATGCACATAATGGAGTTTTTCTAGAAGGGAAAAGTGCTTAAGCTATTGCCAGCATGGTCTTTTGAAAATGAATCCCACTCATGGCATCTGTTTGAAAGCTTTTTTTTTCCTGGTGTGTTATTAAGTTGCTATGGTGATTATCCATCTGTTTTTGCATCAACTCAGTGAATTCTATCACAAGCCAACCTGTTTGTCAGCAACTCTCATCCTGTGAACACAAGGTTATTGGATATGGGAGGGGCTGTTTAGGATTTCCAGTTCATTGAAACTTCTCCCTTTGTCAAAATATAATTTTGAGCTATTGGACTCATAAATGAGCTACAGCATCTGTACTGCTGCAGTTAGAAAAAATTAAAAGGAAATCATTAAAAAAAAGACACTGCGTGCATTCCTTGTCTCAGTGATCATTCATAATCTATGTGTCAGGAGCATCTGGATGAGTTTTCTATGTGTTGGATTTTTCCCTATACCTGGAAGCAGCAGCATACACAATGCATAATGGTAGATTCATCTTTCAGAATCAGCCTATGTTAGAGCAGGTTGCTAAAAAGTCTTTGTGATTCAGTGTAGCCTCCAAGTAATCCTACAGAATGAATTGCCCTTTCTGAGACTTTCAAAGTAAAATAAACCTCTGAGATGGAAGTGCATCAGTAGGCTCCACACATGTTTCAACATCTGAAGGCTATGTGGACATGTGAGTAGGTCAGGGCCAAAACCAGCCACAGTGATCCACTCCTCGCCCTTCCCATGTGCAATCGTAAGTGTCATTTTGGGATTGTTTAAGCCTGAGTTCTGCAATTTTAATATTTGGCTAGCACCAACTGATGTGCATCATTAGCAGGAATAGCAGCATGTACCCTCCATCTATTGCCTCAGGAAGGAGAGCCCCACAACTTGCATACTGACATCACCCAATCTTAGATCTCTCTGAAGTGGTGAGTGGAGCATTTGCCATGTGACCCCAGTTCATCCCAGACAGCCACCCCATGACTCCCAGCCCCAGCAGTACTATCCTTCTCTCACCTGTGCTGTAACAAGCCCTCTGTTAAGAAATTGGCAGCACTAATTGAACCCCCAAAAAGAGACACCTAAGAATTTCTTCCTTTGAGGAAGCCATTTTGTGGGTGGAATGAGGGCAGTTTTACCACTCAAATCCACCTGGAAGAGTCTTCCTAAAAACTATGGGAGTGAGGAGGGGGATCCCCTTAGTGTACATAAGGAACTATAGCCCAATAGGTTGGAGACGTTGCCAGACTGATATAGGTTGCCAGGTGGGTTAGATATGTTTTCTTTGTCTTTTCTTATGGTTACTCCCTCACCCAGATGATCCCCACTTATCTCCAAAATATCTGGGTTTGGACAGATATTTCATTGACAGTGGATTGCACGGTCCCACTTAACATTTCAAGCTGGAGAAGAACTTTTGGCGGAAAATGGAAATTAATTTGTAACCAAGCAAATGATATGAGCCATACATGTTTCTGTATGGATTTCAGCATGGCTACCATTAATAAATTACATTTTTTATCTGTTTTATATATTCAAGTACAAAGGAATAAAAGATCGGAAGAACCTTGGCAAGGCAGAAGGAAATCAGAATGGAAATCTGTGCGTAGCATTCATTTTCTGAACACATACTGGTGTGAAGGCAGAAGTGTACTAATGTCACAACCCCATCTGTTTCACAGTGATCCTAAGGGCCTCTTTGAAGTTGTCAGACACATCTTTTGATGTGCAAGTGATGCAATATACCTTCTGAGGGCAATTGTGGCTATGCATCTCAATACAGCTGGATTGTTCACGAATTGCTCATGTGTCCCCTGCTGCCCCACTCCCACCTCTGCTTTCTTCTTCTCTTTTTGGAGAAAACCCACTCTTTTAGGAAAGGAGCTTAGGAGGAAAGATTAAAGCACAGAATAGCCAGTGGTGTATTACACCTTCAAAATAACTAAGATGAGCGTACAAAATAGAAGAATGAGGCTACATCTAAAAAATTATTTAAATGAAGAATTAAATTGAATTTAATGATTCTGGTTGATTGCTCTGGCCATTAGGCTTTACCCTTACCCTTGTAGAGGCTGTATGATTATTTTTAATAGTTTTCAATTACCATCACCAATCTCCTTTTGTCTTTTTGGTCTTTGACCATAAATGGATAAAAAAGCAATTTGATAAGTATCTTCTCCACACACACACACACACAAACACACCTCTCACGCTATTTCTTTTGGGATAAGAAACATTATGCAGAGTGCAAGAAAGGAATAAGAAATAGTAAAGAAATTAAAGATATGAAATAAGAAAAAGAAAAGGAAATATAGCTGAAACTAGTGTGCATCATCATTATTCACTATACCTCTCCATACCTTCTTATCCTTGCAAGCCATCCTTGTTTTACCATGTCCATACACTCCTTCATACAATGCCTTTTGTTCTTTCTCCCCTCTCTCTTTCTGAAGAGAGATCAACCATGATTTTCTCAGCCTTCACCTTCCTTTCAACCTATTTATTCTTCATATATTTCTTTTGAAATTTGATCCTCATTCTTCTCTGAATATGAAAAAAAAACCACATTAACTTATTTCTTTTGTATTCATCACTTAGTTTTGTATTAAATCCACATTTATTCAGTGCACATTAAGGTTAGGACAACAATCTCTTAGCATCAATCCTCTTAGCATCATGTGTTTTATGCTATCATTGTTTATATAAGAAATAAGTACTAAATAATAACATATTGTTGTAATGCAAAGAATAATTAATTAAAAAAGGAGTGCTGATTTTCTTCCAGATTTGTTCAGTGATTTGGATAGCCATTGTCTTCTTCCTTCACTTCATAATTAACTTCAATTAAGTTTTTAACCAACCATAGGATAATATGATCCAATCTGTAATCCAGGACAGCTATGTTGATAATGCAGTTTGGGGCTGCTAGACTGTCTCATTCTTTTGAATCAAAACTAAGTAGGAAAGACTGAAAAAAATAACTTAATTCTATGATGCTTGTAAATTTCATGTTTATTCACTTTGTGTTTTATTTTTTATTTTTTATCTCTTTTTTTTCTTTGTTCTTGTGTGTCTATTTTTCTTTTCTTTTTCTGAAGAAGGAGGAGGAGGACTGTTCTTATATGTTCCCAGCTTCAAATAAGTTCAGAATTATTCAGAATTTCAAGATTTTATGCCCATTGTAAACATTGTTTTTAGACATGCCCATCCCTTAAGACTCTTCTTCCTCTTTCTGGTGCTAGTTGCCACCTGTAGAAACACTAAAAAATGGCACCACAAAAGGATTAGGAAATGGAGGAAGAACAAGTGATAAGTATGGGCCACAGGTTGCTGAAAGAAACACTGTATTTTGGAGTCTGCCACATCTTCACCTCCTTTAATACATTTGTCCATGTAAGTGAACTGTCTGGCAAGGAAACTAACTGGTGGCATGAAAGTCAAGGCTGACAGGTATGAGTCTTCTCCTTATACTGCTATCCTGGCCCCCCAGGGTGTAGTACAGAGATGCAAAGAACTGGGAATCACTGCCTTTCACATCCAACTAAGGGCTACAGGTGGGAATAGATTAAAGAATCCTGAATCTGGAGTCCAGTTAGTTCTTCAGGGTTTGATTCCCTCTAGCATGAAGATTGGGGACTGAGTGTAAGATTTGCCCCGTTCGACAGAGAAACACCCGTGACACGTGTGGTTCACAAAAGAGGTTTACTCATGCGTAACGTAGCAGTCACAAGCAAAGCCAGGACTGGCTTGGTACATTTGCATCACTCGTTATATTCCCCCCTTCCCGCACTTTTTTCGCCCCGTGATCGCGTTACCGCTGCAGATTATCGGCTCCCCAATAATCCCCCTTAATTGTCTATGATGGCAGGTTCAGCCAGGGTCCATTGTCCTTGATTGGCAGTCCCCCCTGGCTTGGGTTGGTCCCCCCTCGTTACGTGCAAGCCCGAGGGTTCTGCGTTGCGTGGCAATCTTTTTTCGCTGCCTGCAGCCCCGTTCATTGTTGGCTCATGCCGTTATCAGTGTGGAGTTAAAACTTCCGCTGCGGTTTTCCTGTTTGGCTGGGCGC